TGAAATATTGACATAAAATTCCATTAATGTTTCAACAACATTTATAATGTAAGGTTACATTATAAGATTAGTGGTAAATACCAATAATCTTCTCACTAAGCTATGTAAGATTGTAACCTCCTTGTAACCTTAGTGCAATATCCTGCTGTGAGGGGGAACTTAAAAGTACTTTATCGTAATGTTATTATTTCCATCTATATATATAATATAGACTCACATTTGATTGAGCAATCTCTTTAGATTTCACAAAATATGTACGTTTAAAAAAACGCTTACGATATTATAAACATGAATTAAGACAGTTCCAAACAAAGAAAGTTTTCGTGTTTGTAATTTAATGCAATTTCCTTAACTGCATTAGTGCTATACATAGAAAATACGTTATTATTACTTAAGCATTTATTTTAATAGTATTATTATTTATCTATGGACATCTTTCATTGTTATTATACTAATGTACTTCCTCATTGCTAATACTCTCTCTATTACAAATACAAATACAGTATTGTTTTCATGGCAATATGCGATGCTAACTCAACGTTCACATTTATTGATATTGTAGCCTATAATAACCCATAGTAGCAAAATTTCAAAAAGTGCTGATTTAGTAAAAAATTTGATGATATAAAAATATGTTTTTTAATCTAAATAAAATAATCATACCTATTCAATCCTAGTTTCCAAGATAAGACTAATATGGCTTTGATGACAATATCTACTGGTACCAAATTTTCATTAACGGCATTATTTATATAGGCTACTCGTATTATTCCTTTTGCGCCACCAATTGTAAGTCCTATTGGACCATAAACGTTATCTATCCATCCTGCGAATGGTTCTTCAAACGATGGGAAGACTAAAATATATTTGTAGATTATTATTATTATTAGATTATTTTTGACTTCTAGTAATGACATCAAGCTATTTTTTACTCATTTATAATCAACCGAAATGAGAAACGTTGTAAAATTTTATAAACATATATTTAATATGTATAATAATGCTTTTTTAAATGTCTAATTAATTTAATTTTCCGTGAGAAACGTATCAATATTAAGAGTGACCCTTAAAAAGGTGGTTTTTTGCCCGTTTTTTGGGTCCTCGATTTTGGGACTGAATTGTGTGCCGAATAGTACCCAGCTATAGTAAAACATTAAGCATAGAGAAAGGGTGTGTAGCCCACTTTGTATATGAAATCTGCCCCCACACTAAATTAGCCCTGCCATAGGTCGATCGTTAGGCCTCTATGAAAGAACAACTTTCACCAAGTTTTAGCCTTCTACCCTTACTATTACGATAATGGCAAGCTAAAATATGATTTTCAATCATAATTTTTTTCTGCTCTTCTAATGCACGAAAAATTATGAAAAAATTC